TATACATATATATATATATATATATATATATATATATATATATATATATATATATATATATATATATATATATATATATATATATATATATATATATATATATATATATATATATATATATATATATATATATATATATATATATATGTATATATGTATATATATATATATATATATATATATATTTATTCAATTATATTCAATAGAAAATACAGAAAAAATGGTTTTAAAGAAAAAAAAACGTAGCACCAATATCCAAAGCATATGGCCATACATTCACCACATATTCAATAGCAGCAACAGCAGAATATGAATATCAAAATCTCAATAATTTGGTCAATAGCCAACAACATAATATCCAGGAACAGAATCAATAGCCAACAACATAATATCCAGGAACAGAATCGCAAAAAATTGAATCGAATTCATTGGAGTCGAATTCTTGCACTACTCCCCGTGATGTGTTTTGGATTAAGATGGTCCATACAAATCTTAGATGTTGGGGCTAACTTAATTCCTCAAGCTGCACTCCATTCCAACCTCCTTCCTTCATCTTTAGGGACACTAAATAGTCTTAAATTTCCATCACAATATTTCTTATTGCAAATCCTGCACTTTTTCATTTTCCTTTAATTTTTTTTACTGGTTTCACTCTAAACATGCTCTTAAATTATTTGAAATATTATAAAAAGGTACTTTTAGGGAAGAAAACATAAACAAATTAGTTGTTGCATTCATTTAGGGCGAATTCATCATTACAACAATTTGTTTTGACATTTAATGGTGCCGTCAGCTGGGCTGATGCGATTACCTAGTACATCTACCAAAGACCTAAAATGGTAAAGACTAGACAAAATGCATTTTGAGCAAATGGTTTGTGTCTACAATACATAGAGTAACAGCTCATGCCAGAGGCATGTTGATATAAAAACCACAATTACAGAAACCAAAGACAGATAAAAGTTTGAAAAAACAAAAAATGTGGTTTCAAATTTTTATTCCATAGACCAGGGGTGCTCAAAACCGTGTTCTAGAACATGAAGAGAAAAAAGAGATAATTTAAGAGAAAATTAAAATTCTGTTTTTCTTTATATTTTACTGTTCTATTTAATTGTTTTTAAACACGAATGTTTGCCAAAATAGTTTATAAAGCAAATGGATAAAAAATATTTGTATAAATAATGACTTAACACTGTTTTGTTCTTGATTTAAATAAGCAAAGAGAAATTTGACTGAAAACAGATATTTCATCTTGAGCACCTCTGCCATAGACCTTTCCAAAAATTTGCAATTGTCTTAGCGGTTTAAATCAGTTAACATTGGTAACTATGTTGTTATGATATCGTAACAACAGAGGTATTTTCATAGGGTTGCCATATTTTTACTCTGTCTTGTCCTATCTTTACACTTCTATGTCTTTGCATCTACCTTGGGTAGGGCTAACAAGGTTGAAAAATGTATTGATACATTTCAATGTTCGCGCGTCACAACAAATGTAAAGTAAAAAGATAAACTTAAAATCTAAAGAAAAACTAATATTTGTCGTGCAAAAAAAAAAAAACAAAAAGAGAAAATATGGAGCAACTGATGTATTCACTTTCGGATGATTCTAGGAGTGAAGAGGACTGCCTGAATGAGGAATCAGACAAAGAAAACGTATTGGAAAACAGTGCAAAATTAGGTAAATTGAAAAATTAAGCTTAAAATCAAAAATGTTCGCTTTTTACTGCGAACATTTTCTTTTTATTTTTTAAGTTGGCTCTCTTCCCAACTTGTGGCATAAGGTCTTATAGCAGACTTAACATTAACAAACATGTCAGCCTCTCCGGGGTTGGGATTTGAGAAAACTCCACCTCTAAATACTCTTCAACGCATTCTGAAAAAACAAATTCTAAATAAACAGCATTCAAAAATAGTTATGAATTTTAAATTATTTTCAATACTCATTTTTTTAAATTTTGGTTTCACCAGTCCGATTTAGACTGTTTTCTTTTGGAATTTTGAATGTTGACATTTTATCGCATTTCTACTAATTTTCTGTTCCCTTATTTCTTGAGCACACCTAAATGAGAATGGCATTTCGTACTGTTCTCTCTTCTGCTACCTTTACTACTAAAAAAGTACTGGAACACAATTTAAGTAGGTATTTTAAATCAGCTATTTCACGATTTAGATAGCGGTGGCATTTTTGAAAAAAATGTTGGCTATCTGAAGGAAAAAGATCAATTAATTTCAAAATTTGGATTAAACAGTGAATTAGTAATATAGCATTGTTTTATACTAATTGAAATAAAAAATATACAAAATAATATTTTTTTACTGAAATACCATATGCCGACTACAGGTAAATAGACATCCCGAGCATTGGAAAATGGTGCCTACTTTTGCCAATTTAATAAAAACAAATTAAATTTTTGTTTATTATTTCGAAAAGTAAACAAATTTTGGAATCCGAACAAATACCAGTGGTATGTGATAAATGAATTATTATATTTATCCTCAACGCCATTCAAATTATCAACCTGTGCAGTATCGGATGCCGTGAGGTAGTTTTTGCACTCAATGTAAGTGCTCAAGACCTTATCCCAAAATTCTTGAATTTCCAAAATTCGAATTTCAAGATTACATACAGTAAATTGAGATTCTTTTATCTGTTCGAAGAATTCAACAGATTTGAGAAGAGTGTTAGAAGCTCTAACAAAGCGAGTAACTGGCGTTATCGACATTATGTAACTAGTTTATTTTTAACAAAAACAATGAGAAATTTCCACAAACAAAAACCTCCAAATACGTCAATATGTTATAAATATTGTTAAATAATGTTAGAAAAATTGCAACAACAATAAATGCGCGTTAGTGACGACGACAAAATAACCAACCGACAGATGGATGCACTGTTATTACAAGTGTGTTGTTATTGCTAATTAGAAACAAACAATTCTCGTTAAAGGGCTCAACCTTTGAAATCCCACAACAGCGAACGTTTGGTAGGTGAGAAATTGAACAACAAATAAACCAAACGACCAAATATAAAAGAATGTGACTGTATGCTGTGCTGATGTACCAACTATGGCGGGACACTTTCTAATCTCACAAAGGGTTCAACATTTGAAATGAGAGTTAGAAATGGAAATAAACGAACAGAGCGGTAATGACAAGAGCACCAAATATTTTTGTATGACCAACGCGACGACGGATGATCAGTACAAGTGAAGCTAATAATTTTCACAACGAGAGAACTAAAGGAAAATGCACTTGATTAACACAAGAAGTGTTAATATAAGTCGACAAACTGACTTGTTCTTAAACGAAAAGCAAATGTATGATCACCGCGATGTTAGATGATCAGTACAACGAGTAAAATTTTTACGCAAAGACGATAGTGGACTGTATTTCATATGTCACACGCGCGTAGAGCAATTGAGATTCGACCAAACCGAAACAATTTAAATATTCACTAAGAAACCGCGGGTAGCTCACTTCAAATGGTAATCTGAATTTACGTCCCTTTTTCTTAGTGTTGATTATAGTGTTGAAAGAGAATCCAGGGGAGTGGGGAGAATGGCTTCGATAGCGTCAAGACAACAAAAACTCCCCAGAGTTATTATGTGATATGATGTGTAGGTGAGAGATGTGGTGCGGGTGATTCGCGCGTGTGGTGTAAAAAGAAAGAAAATAGCTAAGAATAAAATACAAGAATAATTAGTAATAATTCTAGAGTAAATTCATGTTTTATTGGTGGTTCTTTCTTTCTTTTCTTATTGAACGACAAATTACCTTTAGTAATTGGGGTGGCGACAGAGGCCGTGTGCTTACGCTTTCGTTTCTCAAAGACAAGTGAACGCAGAGGTTCTAAGTGATCCCAGAGGATCCCTTGTCTATTTGTAATACATATGGAAATACAGACAAGTGAACGCAGAGGTTCTGAGTGACCGCTGAGGGTCCCATGTCTGTATATTATTACAACTACAACTACTTCCAATGAGAGCAAGGTGAGCCTACCGCCAACAACCAATACCCAGCGGCGATCCGCTCACTACGGTATCCGCCAAGGGAATTGTAGAGGTGTGTGCATCCGTGATTGACGAGTATTGGAAAGTAGTGGTGGAACGTATCGAACTTATATACATACACATATATATATATATATATATATATATATATATATATATATATATATATATATATATATATATATATATATATATATATATATATATATATACATATATATATATATATATATATATATATATATATTGGAAAACAGTGCAAAATTAGGTAAATTGAAAAATTAAGCTTAAAATCAAAGATGTTCGCTTTTTACTGCGAACATTTTCTTTTTATTTTTTAAGTTGGCTCTCTTCCCAACTTGTGGCATAAGGTCTTATAGCAGACTTAACATTAACAAACATGTCAGCCTCTCCGGGGTTGGGATTTGAGAAAACTCCACCTCTAAATACTCTTCAACACATTCTGAAAAAACAAATTCTAAATAAACAGCATTCAAAAATAGTTATGAATTTTAACTTATTTTCAATACTCATTTTTTTAAATTTTGGTTTCACCAGTCCGATTTAGACTGTTTTCTTTTGGAATTTTGAATGTTGACATTTTATCGCATTTCTACTAATTTTCTGTTCCCTTATTTTTTGAGCACACCTAAATGAGAATGGCATTTCGTACTGTTCTCTCTTCTGCTACCTTTACTACTAAAAAAGTACTGGAACACAACTTAAGTAGGTATTTTAAATCAGCTATTTCACGATTTAGATAGCGGTGGCATTTTTGAAAAAAATGTTGGCTATCTGAAGGAAAAAGATCAATTAATTTCAAAATTTGGATTAAACAGTGAATTAGTAATATAGCATTGTTTTATACTATTTGAAATAAAAAATATACAAAATAATATTTTTTTACTGAAATACCATATGCCGACTACAGGCAAATAGACATCCCGAGCATTGGAAAATGGTGCCTACTTTTGCCAATTTAATAAAAACAAATTAAATTTTTGTTTATTATTTCTAAAAGTAAACAAATTTTGGAATCCGAACAACTTTATTTTTCTGCAATTTAAAGATTTCACTCAGAATGTTGAAAGATTGAAAAATCGAAAAGCCTGAAAGTGCCGACTACTGGTGCGTTTATCCTATAAAAGCAAGAAAAACATACAAAATAAAAATATTGTTTTATGTTATTTTTAGAAGCATCAAACAGTAATTACAAGTTAGGGCATAATGATTAAATGTTAAAAACACAACGCTGAAGTGATTTCTAAGATTCTGCGTGATATTTATTGCTTGCAGGGTAAAATTATAAAGCAAAAGAAGAACTACAACAACGACAAAAACATAGACATGTCGCAGTAGGTCTGAAATGAGATATAAAAAGAAATTGAAATTAAAGTGTATCTTTACAAACATTGTAAAATGCAAAAATTACATTTAAATAAACTGTTAGATTTTAGTTATTTTTTGTAAAATTTGCACTTTTTCATGGACCTGAGATTTTTTCCTTCGGGTATGAACTACACTACACCGGATATGAACTACACCGGCTAAAGTTCTTTTCATCATTTTAATGAGGTGTATATATTATATTATTATATTTTGGCATCAATTTTTTTGAACGCGAACCGCTTGTGACCACCTGAATTTTCAAAAGCCTTCAAATTATATCCTGGACTTTCGGGTCAAAAATTTGAGAAAATTCCAAAAAATAAGTTTCTCCGAATCAGAATTAATTTTGCAATTTCTCTTATAGAATTTGCACACTCCTGCATAACCTGCTTGAAGACAGTAGTTATTTCTGCGTCCGCGTGCTTCTTGGTATACTTCCGCCGAGGTTCGTTTGCTTGGCTGCTGCTTTCGTCAGTTAGCAGAAAATCGTTGACAGAAGACGACGAGCAATCAAGAATGCTTGGCAAATCATTGTCTATGTTATCAATGTTTCCAATCGTTCTACTCAAATAAAAACACATTAAAATTTGGTAATAACATATTATACTTACGTTCGTGCATCTTTGTAGCCATCTAAAAACTCCAGCGGCTCCATATATCTTCACTCAGGCGCAATTATACAAATAAATAAACGTATTAATTATGTATTTTTATAGGAGTAACAGATATTAGAGTGACCATAACAAAATTTTAAAGTAAAAAGTAACTTTATTTACTAAAACACATAAAATTCGTACAAGTATGACCACCTTGTACTGTTTTGTTCGCCGTTCGCCGGCGTATGAAATAGAAATAAAGCTAATTGAGTTGCGGCGTCCGACGAAATTTTCGCCGGCGCCGTGACTATGTGCATTTCCATATGCACATATGTTTTTTTTTTTTTTTGACGACGAACATACGCCGAGAAAAATTCGTCGTGTTCCTAGCATTAATATGATAAGCATGATACCATTATTTCCTGGATATCATTAATTTTGCAGTTCGGTTTAGTATAGCTCGTTACTAATAAATTACAATTGGTGACGTTAGCGACAAAGTACTTTTAAATATTGAAGCTTAGCAAGCATAGAAATAATAAAACAAGGTAAAAAGCAGTAAGTTCGGCCGGGCCGAACTTTGAATACCCTCCACCATTTGGAACGAATTTGGAAATTTTCAAAAAATAAAGTCCTTAAAATTACAATTTTAAAAATACCGAATATAGCCGTTATATTAGTGTCTATACGTCGTGGACGTACATAGGCCTTGTTTGTCATAACCCACTACCATATTCAAATTCGAAACTTGAAATAAACGGTGAATAATGCAGCTAAACTCATCAAAATATCGTATATAGGGAGGTACCGTTATATCGGAGCTGTGCGAAGACCTGGACCAGCATAGACAATATTCTGTCACAGGCTATAGCATTCATAACGAACGTCAAATACGACATCTCAAAAAATTTCGGTGGGTATTTCGGTGGGAGTAGTGCAAGAATTCGACTCCAATGAATTCGATTCAATTTTTTGCGATTCTGTTCCTGGATATTATGTTGTTGGCTATTGACCAAATTATTGAGATTTTGATATTCATATCCTGCTGTTGCTGCTATTGAATATGTGGTGAATGTATGGCCATATGCTTTGGAGTGTTGGTACCCTGATTTTGCATAGAACGATATTGGTGCTACGTTTTTTTTTTTCTTTAATACCATTTTTTCTGTATTTTCTATTGAATATAATTGAAATATGTATATATATATATATATGTATATATATATATATATATATATATATATATATATATATATATATATATATATATATTTATATATATATATATATACATATATATATATATATATATATATATATATATATATATATATATATATATATATATAAGGCCAAGAAGGCAACAACGACTTATTTTTGATGCTTTGCTCCCACAGAGTTAAAGTTATTTTTGGCAAGCACTGCAAACACATATACACAATAATCGGATCCCACTGAACCGTGGCGACGTCATAGACGGCCATTGCAGCGAGACAACTATTTATTCCACTTTGAATATTTTTCAAACCTTGACTAGTTTCTCTATCTATGGAAGGAATATCAAACAAGTTTTTGATATGGCTATTTACTATGATGCGTTTATTGTCGAAAGCCTCCATCAAAGCTTTCCATGCCAATGGGAAGCTACTATTGGTGAGTGGAAATCTCGAAACTATGGTTCTGGCATCACCAGTAGTCTTCTGCAAAAGATAGGAGAGACGCTCTATGTTTGAAAGACGTTCATTTTTTACAAAGAGTATGGTGAACAAATCACGAAATGTGGGCCAAGCGACAAAATCACCAGCAAAAACTTTGATATCTAGAGGTGGCAACATGTAACATTGATTACGGAAGGAGGGATTGGAGCAACTATTATTAGGAGAAGATTTGGAAAAAACATCAACGGGTGGAGAAACAGACTGCACAGGAACCGAAAAGTTAGGTTCGCTCGAAAGCAAGCCTGATGGTGGTGTAACACTATCACTATTAGGAGGAGGAGCTATAGCAGAACAATTCTCATAGACGGGTGATTTGAGACGAGCCAGATGCCGCTTAATTGATGTCAAATACCAGTGGTATGCGATAAATGAATTATTATATTTATCCTCAACGCCATTCAAATTATCAACCTGTGCAGTATCAGATGCCGTGAGGTAGTTTTTGCACTCAGTGTAAGTGCTCAAGACCTTATCCCAAAATCCTTGAATTTCCAAAATTCGAATTTCAAGATTACATACAGTAAATTGAGATTCTTTTATCTGTTCGAAGAATTCAACAGATTTGAGAAGAGTGTTAGAAGCTCTAACAAAGCGAGTAAATGGCGTTATCGACATCATGCAACTAGTTTATTTTTAACAAAAACAATGAGAAATTTCCACAAATAAAAACTTCCAAATACGTCAATATGTTATAAATATTGTTAAATAATGTTAGAAAAATTGCAACAACAATAAATGCGCGTTAGTGACGACGACAAAATAACCAACCGACAGATGGATGCACTGTTATTACAAGTGTGTTGTTATTGCTAATTAGAAACAAACAATTCTCGTTAAAGGGCTCAACCTTTGAAACGTGAAGTGGGATAACAACAGCGAACGTTTGGTTGGTGAGAAATTGAACAACAAATAAACCAAACGACCAAATATAAAAGAATGTGACTGTATGCTGTGGTGATGTACCAACTATGGCGGGACACTTTCTATTCTCACAAAGGGTTCAACATTTGAAATGAGAGTTAGAAATGGAAATAAACGAACAGAGCGGTAATGACAAGAGCACCAAATATTTTTGTATGACCAACGCGACGACGGATGATCAGTACAAGTGAAGCTAATTATTTTCACAACGAGAGAACTAAAGGAAAATGCACTTGATTAACACAAGAAGTGTTAATATAAGTCGACCAACTGACTTGTTCTTAAACGAAAAGCAAATGTATGATCACCGCGATGTTAGATGATCAGTACAACGAGTAAAATTTTTATGCAAAGACGAGAGTGGACTGTATTTCATATGTCACACGCGCGTAGAGCAATTGAGATTCGACCAAACCGAAACAATTTAAATATTCACTAAGAAACCGCGGGTAGCTCACCTCAAATGGTAATCTGAATTTACGTACCTTTTTCTTAGTGTTGATTATAGTGTTGAAAGAGAATCCAGCGATTTCTTCATGCAATACAGGGAGCAACGACAAAGGGATGGCTTCCATCCGGTTCGATGCGACCAATGTTTAACTCAGGGGAGTGGGGAGAATGGCTTCGATAGCGTCAAGACAACAAAAACTCCCCAGAGTTATTATGTGATATGATGTGTAGGTGAGAGATGTGGTGCTGAACGACAAATTACCTTTAGTAATTGGGGTGGCGACAGAGGCCGTGTGCTTACGCTTTCGTTTCTCAAAGACAAGTGAACGCAGAGGTTCTAAGTGATCCCAGAGGATCCCTTGTCTATTTGTAATACATATGGAAATACAGACAAGTGAACGCAGAGGTTCTGAGTGACCGCTGAGGGTCCCATGTCTGTATATTATTACAACTACAACTACTTCCATTGAGAGCAAGGTGAGCCTACCGCCAACAACCAATACCCAGCGGCGATCCGCTCACTACGGTATCCGCCAAGGGAATTGTAGAGGTGTGTGCATCCGTGATTGACGAGTATTAGAAAGTAGTGGTGGAACGCATCAAACTTATATATATATATATATATATATATATATATATATATATATATATATAAATATATATATATATATATATATATATTTATATATATATATATATATATACGCAGAGGTTCTGAGTGACCGCTGAGGGTCCCATGTCTGTATATTATTACAACTACAACTACTTCCATTGAGAGCAAGGTGAGCCTACCGCCAACAACCAATACCCAGCGGCGATCCGCTCACTACGGTATCCGCCAAGGGAATTGTAGAGGTGTGTGCATCCGTGATTGACGAGTATTAGAAAGTAGTGGTGGAACGCATCGAACTTATATATATATATATATATATATATATATATATATATATATATATATATATATATATATATATATATATATATATATATATATGTATATAAGTTCGATACGTTCCACCACTACTTTCCAATACTCGTCACGGATGCACACACCTCTACAATTCCCTTGGCGGATACCGTAGTGAGTGGATCGCCGCTGGGTATTGGTTGTTGGCGGTAGGCTCACCTTGCTCTCAATGGAAGTAGTTGTAGTTGTAATAATATACAGACATGGGACCCTCAGCGGTCACTCAGAACCTCTGCGTTCACTTGTCTGTATTTCCATATGTATTACAAATAGACAAGGGATCCTCTGGGATCACTCAGCTTCACTTGTACTGATCATCCGTCGTCGCGTTGGTCATACAAAAATATTTGGTGCTCTTGTCATTACCGCTCTGTTCGTTTATTTCCATTTCTAACTCTCATTTCAAATGTTGAACCCTTTGTGAGAACAGAAAGTGTCCCGCCATAGTTGGTACATCACCACAGCATACAGTCACATTCTTTTATATTTGGTCGTTTGGTTTATTTGTTGTTCAATTTCTCACCAACCAAACGTTCGCTGTTGTTATCCCACTTCACGTTTCAAAGGTTGAGCCCTTTAACGAGAATTGTTTGTTTCTAATTAGCAATAACAACACACTTGTAATAACAGTGCATCCATCTGTCGGTTGGTTATTTTGTCGTCGTCACTAACGCGCATTTATTGTTGTTGCAATTTTTCTAACATTATTTAACAATATTTATAACATATTGACGTATTTGGAGGTTTTTGTTTGTGGAAATTTCTCATTGTTTTTGTTAAAAATAAACTAGTTACATAATGTCGATAACGCCAGTTACTCGCTTTGTTAGAGCTTCTAACACTCTTCTCAAATCTGTTGAATTCTTCGAACAGATAAAAGAATCTCAATTTACTGTATGTAATCTTGAAATTCGAATTTTGGAAATTCAAGAATTTTGGGATAAGGTCTTGAGCACTTACATTGAGTGCAAAAACTACCTCACGGCATCCGATACTGCACAGGTTGATAATTTGAATGGCGTTGAGGATAAATATAATAATTCATTTATCACATACCACTGGTATTTGTTCGGATTCCAAAATTTGTTTACTTTTCGAAATAATAAACAAAAATTTAATTTGTTTTTGTATAAGTTAGATACTTTGCCCCTCAACTTCCCTTGCTCGATCAATCACGGATGCTGATTGACGCACAGGCATCTCCTCT